ATTCAGGACTTGCTCATAGGCAGAGAGGAGCTCCGCGCTAGAGCAAGGAACTGAAGCTAGAACCTGAACAAGATGGAAATAAGGTTTCCAATGGGATCAGTGAAAGTTATTTAAATCACAGGCTGCTGTGGGTCCTCTGACACCCATTCATGAGCTTCAAGACACAATGCTAAAGGACAACACCAGGGACCCACCAACAATATTCTAAAACTGTAATACTGAGTATAACCAACCAGTCAACACACTTAAATCACTATCAAGCCCAACTACGAGAACAGCTGTAAACCAGTAAAATGTCAGTGTCATAAGCGATCCTATTAGCCTTCTTTTCTCTTCCACTCCTCATTATTTTTGTTTTTCAAGGACAGCAAGGCTTCCAGGATAATCATACATGATCTTCTTCCCAACTCCAACATCTAGGATTATAAAATGAAAGCTGAGATCCTCACAGTTATATCATTTCATGAGTTAGGACTTCAAGATACCGAGTAAATGCAATAAATGAGAATTGAAAACAATAACACTAACACCTTGCATGTGTCTATGATCAATATCTCATGGGTAATTACATGACAGTCAATTGGTGAAAAAGATTAGCTAAGGCACTCAAAATACTGCCATTCCCCTTACAGAAATTTTAAAGGTAATCTACTCAGTCTGCATAAAGAAGCTTTATGCCCCTAGCACACTTAGTAATGAGTATGCTTCACATGACCACCAACACTCGTTTTATATCCTTTCTGGGTTTACAGTTTTATTGCTCATAGAGAACGGCATTCTGAAAGAACAGGCCAGGTATTTTTATTTTCATTTGGATTTTAATTCCTGGAGGGTCACACAATGGTCATATATATTTTAATGTACAACAGCTCATTCATGGGTGAAACTGACGTAGGAGAAAAGATTGAACTTCCGTTATTTTGACTCTTCACTGCCTCTACTTTCTGCCTCAGTAAGACAGAAAACATTACTATACTCATTTCTCAGCATTCTACTTTTAGGGTTCACTCACTTTGCATAGGACAAAGGAAAAGTGAACAGGATCTACATAGTTTGTAAACACTAAAGAGGTCAGTATAGTAACACTGTCATATATAATCCACAGCAGGAACTATTTGCAGACTTCAAAGGCTAACTGATGTTTTGTTTCTTGACAAAATGACCTAGAGGTTCTAGCTTTCCCAGAAGTGCTTCTGCTGCATGTTACCCTTGAGGAACTTGCTCAGTTCTATCCGCTCCCCACACTCCTCATTACTGCCTCGCAGTAACACTTCCCCACAAAGTTTTAGAGGTTACAAACTCTATTTTATTAGTCTAAATTGTTTGCTAATGGGCTGAAAGCCTAGATTTTCCAAGGCAGTTAATATGTTGCTTCTCTTCAACCCTCTACAGTAACTATGAGCCAATAGTACAGACCATTCCATGTGTCTGAGATTCTTATATGCAAAATTAGATCTGAATCAGCAAGTCTCCACCATGCCTTAAATTACAACAATGGGCACACAGTAAATAAAAATAATTGATTATTATTTAGTTGAAAGGAAATGTTTTCTGTATATTTAATAGGTCACATTTTCTGTAAAACAACTCCTTAAATAAGCATCTCTATTCAATTACATACACAACGAGAAGTAAGACAAAGCAAGGGCCTAGTTTTCCATTTGAGAACAATGCTTATACAAACCTACTCATTTCCTCTCCATTAATTCCACATGATCTTCCTGTAAGCATACCTGGTTTTCTATAACCAATTTTGTTTTGCATAAATTCTTCCCAGAAAAAAAAACAATTATCTAACCTAATGATTTCTCCATTAATGTACGTTTTGGCAACAACAGATCATGGAGAAATCCTTGATTATTTTCAGGAGAATTCTGACTAGCATAAACAGGCATTTACATCAATAAGCTTCCTTTAAATGCAGAAGACTCAATGTGCTGAGGGAATAGGACTGATCTAGGTATCCTGAGAAAATTAAGCTGTACTCATAATGGGTTTTCGCTTTTGCAAGAGATAGGCATATACAAACCCCTGATACCCAAAGATGCTCTATCAAATGGATGAAATACTTGTCCTTGAGAGGCTACCAGCCTCTCTTCAACTGCAGCTCTAGGCTCTGTGTCTCTATCCTACACATTGGCTGAGCCTCAGCCCAAGCCACGGTCCAAATGAACAAGAGGACAGAATTCCTTTTGCACACTCTTCCCAGCCCCACTCCAGCTACAGCTCTATGCTCTGTCTCTCTCCCAATCCTAATCCAAGCCCCAGCCCAATGCATCACCACTAAACCTCAAAAGTCCAAATCACCATTTTCTCTTGAATTTTAATTCCTTTATCAAGGAACATTTTTCAAAAGCCAGTTTTACATTAATAACATAGGCATTATCACTAATGCAGCTTTTTCTCATTAAGCCACAAGAATACAAAGAGAAAGTGGCAGTTAACCCCTTAGACACTGAAACACAGAAACTAATTCTACTAGAACACTTCCTTCGAAATATCATTGTCAACTGAGAACTTGCCTAATGTAGTTTCCCTATCAGCACAATGAGAATGGTTAGACTGAGAAAGGAAAAGGACAAGTACTTTCGAAGGGAAGGGACCACAGTGTAGCATTTGCAATGTAGTCAAGATGTGCCACAAAAGGATTGTCTAAGTTCTGTCTATCTAGCAGCTGAATTAGCAAGAAAACAAGTTCAGGAGTCATACTGACAAAAGGGGGCATACTATAGTTTGCACATCCTTAAAACATGATCAAAAAAGATAAATGCACTCAGGTATTACAAATCCCAGCCTATTTTTGGATGGGTTGCTTAACTTTTTGCAACCTCCATTTTTCAGCAGTAAAATGGAAATAATAATCCTGCTTTTTATGACAGTAAGTCTATGAAGCTTATTTCCTTTAAATTCTGTGAAATCCTTTGGAGTTCCTTGTATGAAAAGTGTTATTTAAACATTGTTATTATTCCAAAGGAGCAACTGCAACAAAAAAATCCCATTTATTTTTACTGCCTATTGCAATCTGTATATAACTGCCCAATCCCCCAAAAGGAATGCATGTCCCTGTTCTGATAAGGACTTATGCTAGTCAAAGTGTGTTATATCAGAAAAGCATATTCTACTCCAACACAAAAACACTTTAACCAGTGACAAGTTAAACAGATGTTATGACCACCAGGATTTTTAAAAGAATTTTTAAATTACTTAGATTAATGTTGTTTTCCCGAGTTTCATGTACATTTTAAACTAGGTTTGTTTCTCTTTATCAGTTAAAATACATTCTAATCTCTTTTGCTGTCTTATTTAATGAATTAGAATGGTTCTTAACTCTATTTTTATGGACATAGAAACAGAAATTAATGGAACACATTGCTTTGATTTGTCTGTCTACAAATGAGCCCAAAGGTGGTGTTGCTAGTTCTCAGCCAATACTGCATTGTTCTTTATTTAAATTTCACCTATTCCTAAATCAAATTGTAATGAAAAGAAAAAGAACACACAAAAGAGATGCTGCAACCTTAAGTATTACCAGTTAAAGCAGAATCCAGATGTCCTCTTTTAGCTATTCAGAGCTTAAAAACTCCAGGGTGTAGTAGCTTCCCCTCAGAGCTTTCATGTACTACTGTCTAATTCAATGATGCTTCCCTTGATTATAAATGTTGGGACAAGGAGCCTCATAGATCTGAATAAGCATAACTATTACCAGATTTGTTCCCTGGGCTGTGGTCACAGTGGTGACCGCAGAGGTCAAATGTAATTCACTGAGTATGAATCTGGCCAAGAAACTGACAGAAACACAACAGGCAAATTCCTGCTCCTATTGTGATCCCCATCTGGTTGGAGAAAACCTTAAAGGGTCCAACTGGTCCTAAAAGCCCAGGACTGATAGAAAGTAACTACCCAGAAGACAGCACCGAAGAAAAGATTTGTAAGACTACTCTCCCCTGTCTATGGGCTATATCAAATACAGGACTGAGTGGGAGTGGGCCACACAGCACTTCAAAAGCCACAGCTAGGTGTGCAACACAAGGAACAATGAGGAATAATTAAAGTAATTTAGATGGCCCACAACAAGTCTCTAAGACAAAATAAGGGTGTCTCCAAACCGTCGAAAGTTCAGGATCTCAAAGATTTGACCACAGTAGAAAGCCACAGTGTCCAGAGTCTTACACAAAATTTTTTTTACACAGAGTGCCATATAGTCTTTAAAAAAGCTTCATGCCACCTGCAAGTCAGCCGCACTGACACCAGAAAGTCTCTTTGCATTGCAATGGCAGACTTGCATATTACAAAGTTAGGGAAAGCAAGCCAATATTATTTTCTGCTAAACTGACATGCTCCTTTCAGATCATTTCATATGCAATTTGGAACTAGTGTTACACTTGGAGGTGTAAGTAGCACTAGTAAGCAAGCTATTTCCCTCATTCAGAAGGTTTCCAGTTCGTTTAACAAAAGGTTTCTTCCATATAGTACATTCTGACATACTGAGTAAAGACTAGCTCCTGTTACTTTCACGGAGCTCTAGGAACTGGATGTAGCACAATGTTAAAGGTATCTGCTCATCTCAGTCAACACAAAGCCAAGCCCTGAAAACTATCTAACATTATATACTCAATGCCAAGTATTGTTTGAAAACAGAGCCTTTTAAAATATCTGTTTTCTTAGCCTAAATCTGACATAGTATCTTTGTAATAACCTCCTTCTAAATGTGCTACACTTCTTCCTCGGGATTCAGAATTGCCACTTATAATCAACCAAAGGAACAAAATTTTTCTATTATTTATGTTGATCCATTTCACAGACGGTAAAAGGATTCATCACCATGTCAGTCCCTTTATTGTTACCTACACTGCTCACTGCCTAAGAGCCTCAGCTGTAGCCCAGGGCCCAGTGGTGAAAGGCAAGTCCCGAATCCCAATAGTTTGCCTGTCCTAGCAACCCTTTTGAAGACAGTATAGACACCAAATGAAATGAAAACTAAATAAAAACATTTCAACTACCTTGCCATGTAGTTTGTGGACATCATATCTTATTTGAGCAAATTCACGGAGTCCGAAAGATCCTCCAACAAGATACAGCTGAAAAACAACAAAATGAAAACAGACTTGTTAGGTCTGTTATGAAAAAGAATACTTTGCACACTTACACAGAACATTTCGCATACTGACCCAATCCATTCACCAAGGTACCCTACTATTCTTCCAACAGAAACAACAGGAACTGAAGAAAATAATCAATTGGAAGATATGTATAGGAGAAGAGGGAGTATATGTAAAGTCAGAGCCGCCTTCTGCTCTCTGGGTATGGATTTCACAAATTTCCTGCTTCATACAAAGACAGCTGCTTCTCGACTCACGTTTTCTAGGGACTTCCTCTCCTCTTACCCCTTCTCTCTCTCCATATGGCTTCCTGACATAACTGCAGCAAACGAACCTCTACCTCACTGCCACAGGATTTATTCTCATCATTTTCAAACTCTATGGGGAAGTAACAACGCCCCATTGACTTACTCTGATGTCTGTGGGTAAGAGATCTAATTAAGCTTCTGAACCGGCCAGCTGATTAGAGCTGTGGTTCAATGACACATTATCGCATAGGCTAAGAAATCATATCCAGCACACCTGCACTTTAATTATTGCCTCCTTGGTTGTCTTGCAATTCCCTCCACACCTGTGAGGCTTACAAATAAGAATAATAAAACAAAAAATGGGGGAAAAACAACCTTCATATCCACATAACGAAATCGTTAAATTCTCCTTTCTTGTGACAAATTGTTAAATTATTCTTTCTTATGACACAGGGATATCATAAAACTGTCTGTATTTTCACCATTACAAATGGACAGACCAACCAAAAGATCGAGTATTGTTAACAAATACCATTAAGGGTTTGAAAATTAGCTTAGAAATCTAGCTACTTTGTGGAAGAATCAGGCCTTTTGCTCCTGCTCTGACCTGACAGACTCCATCTGCTGTTCTCTGTTAAGGCAGATGCACAGGAGGCCAAAAGGCTTCACATCTAGAGATGCACATCTAAGGAAGGTGTAAGTACGAGGAAGCTCAAAGGACCTGAGCGGAACAAAAAAACACCAAACCAAAACCAAACCCCAACACCATCCTGTTTTATCACATCACATTGCTGTTACAGTCCTTCATTACAGGCTGCTGCCGCATTGGTAACTGTCTTCTACACAATGCTGGCTGATTTCCTGCTACATATGAGGTTTGCAGCAATGGCCCATGTCCAAGAATTCTTATGATTATGCTGCACAGGGAGTCAAAGTGTATGTTCTTTCCAAAAAGTATGCTATCTGAAGTTCAGGTCACTGAGGTCACAAAGCCATATTCATTCAATTTAAATTAATAATTAAAAAAAAGAATAAAATAGAATAATAATAAAAAAGCAGCCTTCTGCATTTATTCCTTCTAAAAGTTGCAGGACTACGAGATTTCCCATCAAGCAGGTAAAACCACTCACAACCATGTGAACGCACTTCCCACACAGACGTAGATGCTGGTAAGTTACAGACTGGTACCCAGGAACTAATATGCCCTGTTCACAGAACAGGGAACCCTTCACCAATAGCCAGGAGTTAAAAGCTTCAGAGTCTCTTTCCAGCCTCACCCCTTCAATAAACCCAAGAATCTAGCTGACAGTTAGAAACAAATAGACCAAAGTTTTGTGATACGAACATCCAGCTGCTAGGCCACAGAACTCTGATTTCAGAAAGCCAATCAGAAAATCATCATGTGTTAGCAAGTTAAGTTTCAGCGACTAGAAATTTGACCTACCAAAAACTGGATGGCACCACACTTGTATCATAACACTTCAAGGAATTAATGATGGTCTTGCAAACATTGAATCATCAAAATATAAAACAGAAAAAAAGGTGTTCGTATAAAGGGGGGGAGGGAAGGCTTCCTTGTGTCAATATTTTGGTAAGAAAGAATAACAGGAAAAATAAAGTATTCAAAATACTTAAAAAGAACCTGAACATTTTTCAAGATTTATTCAATCAAAGCAGATTTGTCAGCTGAGAATATGGTAACATGTAATGCTGAAAAGTCTCAAGAATCAGACTATAATTGAATCTCAATATGGGTGACACCTCAGCATAAATTTTCATTAGCTGATCTTCTTTAACTCTTAATGAGTATTATGTTAATTAACAGTCAATGAGTTAACTTAACAAACTTCAAGTCCTAACGAGCAGAAATCAGAAGTGCTATAGACAAGTTTATGGCTGTTACAAACCACAGCTGTATATTAGTATGTTGTCAAAGAGTGGCTATGGCGGGGCAAAAGCAACTGCACTAGAAATGGTTCGGTACACAGTTGTTAAACCAGGCAGAAATTAGCAATTACTTGTGACATCAATTAACAATTACTTTGCCCAACAACAAACTTGCATGAAGTATATACTGTTATGAGATGCAATATGAACAAGTGGAAGACCTTTAACTGGCCTGCTCCTCATAACCCAACTATTATTTAACATAATGAAAAGGTACACTGTGGCTTACAAGGCCATGCTCCAAGCTAAAAAAGAAACACTACATTTTTTTTTTAGCTTTGATAATTTAAAACTATGTAATGCACACCATAACTAAGGGAAATCAAGTAGAAGGCTGTGCATTAAATAAGTCATGTGCTACTCATTTTGTCTCATCACATCCTATCACCCATTTGACAGCAACCATCCGTTATACAGTGCATTTTGCAGTGCATATGCGGCTATATACATAATAAAGAAGTCGATACGCACACATCTCTCAGTTCCTTTAGACAGGTTTTGGCCTGAGACTGTAATTTTACTCACGTCACCTTTATACTACTAAAGGGAAGAAACCCACTTGGTTTCGGATGTACTTTTGCTCTTCATACAGCGTAAGCAGCATAACTAGCCTGGCAAGTTGGCACATTTGCTTATCAGGTATTACCAGTATAGTTGCCTTTACGCTTCCAACACCGCAACGGTTGATTTACCTTACAATGAAACATCAGTTAGGCTCTGTCAGAGTCAAAGCACATTGATGCTGTAAGAAATTACAAACGCCATTGAAATACTACAGAGTGTAATGCTCGAAGGTTAGGATTAAGAATAAATAATTTTCAAAAGCACAGAATATACACAAAAATAGAAATAGTATGTTTACAAGTTTACTTGACCAATGTTCTAAAGAACCAAGCATGATGTCTAAGACTTCATTGAAAAACCAGACCAGAATCAGTCATATTCAGCAGTTATTTAATCAACCAACAGCATGTCTACACAGTTAGCTGACAGCCCTGAGCATGAATTGCCTTTATCTACACAAGCCAGAGCAGCAATGGACAGCTATTCAGTCAATTAGATTTTTGAAAACTCTGGTCAAAAGCCAATAAAAGAAGGTATAAATGAATTTATGCAACTGTAACAGCATTAAAGGTAATAAAGGTCTCAGTGACTGCCAACGCATTTAGTGGAAATACTAGTCTTGGTTTAAGTGTTTCCTTTTTCTTTTTTGCATCGAGGGAAGATGTCCTCACTACCTTCATTTAAGTTAACTGTATTTAAAGGGAAGAATGCACACATACAAATAACAATGAAGCATCAAGAGTCACCAGCCAAAATAATTAGAAGTGGGGTAAGACTCAAGCTAAAAATTCCAGCAACATTATCAACTTGTTGGCTTTGCATATTCTGTATGTCTCTCAGACATTTCTAGTTTCCCAATTTGTAAAACAGAGATAATCTCTACATTCCTTGCAAAACACTCTTCAGTTAAAAAAGCACTACAATGGACAAATTTGCTCAATGTAAGCCAAGGTCAACAGCAGAGTCCAGTATGTTCCATCCACCAGTCCAGACATAAGTGACAGCAGAAGCTACTCAGGATGCCCTATAAATAAAAGTTAGGTTGGCAACAGTCCAACAAAACCAGGTTCAAGTTCACCTTCCAGTTAATGGAAAGGGGAAAAGTAATGCCACGTACAATGAAAGTTAAGATCTATTTTTCTTCATTCTATTTTTAGAATCATACAGATACTTAACTTACATCGTAAAATGTTAAGGCATTGGGATCTGAAGAGTTGGAAAGTTCAAATATACCTGCATTCTTTTATTGTGAAGGAACTATTCATTTTATACGCTTCAGAATGTGGAGCAAAAAACGTTACTATGTAGTGAACATCATCTGTCTAGTTACTTGAATGCATTCAGCAGATTGATGAAATTACAATAACTTCTTACTTTTTCCTTTACACCTGATGTTTACCTTAAGAAGGCAAAAATCATAAAAGATACTAGTTAACTAGCACTTAACACCAAAGCAAACAACTTAACACCACTGCTAGCACAATCCCCCACTGAAGATCTCACATTGGATTATTCCTTTATGTTTCAGTGAGTACACAAAGAAAATCCTACAATGTTGTAATGCAATTATGCATGCATGGAAGACTTGCATCTTCCAAAACAAAATGAAAGATAGGATGTGACATAAGAGCACCATCTGTCACATACACTCAGCAGCCTCAATAAGTGGTTTATGTAAAAAAATGACATAAAATTCTCTTTAATAACATTCTTTTAAAAATTCTATTTGTTCACATCTCCATTGGGAAGTATGTTATGCAATCAGTTAAGGATGGCATCAGACTGATCCCTTGAACTGCATCTCAGGATGGGAAATACTTGCATTTGTCACCAACTACAGCAAGATGGTCACTGAGGACTTGTAACAGCAGAAGAACTTGTGACTTACTGTAGATCCCTACTTTTTTTAGCTCCTGCATAATCTAAAGCAGCCATCTTCAGTTCTTTGTTAATAAAATAACAAGAAACTATTTCTCTGGCAGCACCAGCATTTTGCCATACTACAGGAGTCCCTGTTGTTAGAGAACACCACTCCTGCTATAGTACCAATTGTGAAAGCCAGATTACAAAATTACATTTATCATAAATCCCTAAATTAACCAAATCATAATATTTAGTGCTGGCAACACAGATTGTGCAGTGGTGAAAAATGCTATCATACAAATGACTGGAGAAAGAACATGATAATTTTCTAACCTCTTCTTTCAAGACTGTTGCTGCAAAACCCTCCAGCTATCCATCAGGAGCTTCAAAACTAGAACAGTCCTGTGAATGATTTTATTTTAGTTTGCAGTGAT